ATGAATATCATGCTGGTCAAGGACGGGTGGAACAAGGACTTCGACGAGAAGGCCACGCCTGCTATGCCAGTCTCCGGCTGGATGGGCGACTACTTGCTAAAGAAGTCTGACAACATGGACTGATGGAAGGAGTGCGTCGTCGAGAACGGCAAGGCTGTGGAGAAGGACTGCGCTGACTTGCTAAAGAAGTCTGTCAACATGGGCTGGTGGAAGGGCTGCGATGTCAAGTTCGACAAGGCCGACGCCCACCGCAGCGCTGACGTTCATCGCGCTTTCATCAACAATGTGGTCAGAATCGCGATCGAGATGAAGTGCATGCTGGTCAAGTTCGGGCGGAAACAAATCGTCGTCGAGGCCAGCTGCGAAAACATCCATCATCATCAAACCGTGCGGTGAGTTGGCACGGAATTTCACCCCAATTAGGCTTGCACCTGTCAAGCCGCCTTTTCTGCCAGCCTTCGATGTGGCTGGCCAGCAGAATCAGTTGCGCATGATGCCAAGTGTTGCAGTGTCTCTGGTATGTGGTCTGGGGCGGGGCAGAGTCGCGGAACGACTGGGGCGGGGCAAAGGCTTCGCAGAATGATGAATTGACTTGTTGGAGCGGAGATGTCCGCGGGATTAGTCTTCCCCGATCTCCTTGTGTTGCTTCAATTCATTGTGTGTGTAGAGTTTGACCAGGCAGGTCGAGAGCCTCACAGGTGGTGAGGTGCTTCCCTGCGACATCGTCTGCAACACCTTCTGCGTGGCATCAATTCACTCCAGTTGCAAGTACAGCCAGTCGGTTTCCACTCACTGCTTTGCTTGCCTAGAAGGCGCGTGGGCCACTTTCGCCCAAGCCGAAAGGTCGATGGCCCTCGCGTGCTGCCTGGAGTCCCCGCCCCTCCACAGGAGGCGGCTCTTTCTTGGTGCACGCTCCCTGTCTCCCAACCACGCGCTGATCCTCCTCCTGCTCCTCCTATTCCTCCTCCTCCTCCGCCCTCCTCCTCCTCCTCCTCCTCCTCCTGCTCCTCCTCCTCGTTCTTTGCCCCGTCCTCCTCTTTCCCGTCCCACCCCCCTCGTCGATTCTCCGACGACGCCGCCGCCTCCGACGCCGACAACGTGACGACGGCCTCCGAAGGCTTCCGATGGCCGCCGAGGGCGCGCCGTGGCCCGTTCCCCGGAGGACGAGGCCGCTGGGCCAGGCGCCCGCGGGCGGCGCGGCGCGCTGCGGCGCGCCAGCGGAACCTCCGAGCGAGGACGTCGCTGCCGCCGTCGCCGCCGCCGTCGCCGCCGCCGCTGTTGACGTCATCGCCTACGCCGTTGCTGCCGCCGGGCCGCCGCCGCCGCCGCCACCGACGCCGCCACCGTCGCCATCGCCGCCGTCGCCGCCGTCGTTCGCCGTCGCCGTCGCTGCCGCAGCCGCAGCTGTCGCCGTCGTCCACCGCCGCCGTTTTCGCCGCCGATCCTTATCGGCCGAGGTTTCTGGCCGCTTTGGGTCATTTCTGGCCTCTGGGGGGCGCTTGTGGGTCTCTGGTAGCGTCGTCGTCGCCGTCGTCGTGGGCCTTCGGGGACGTCGCCGTCGCCGCCGGCGTCTACCCTCGATTCTCCAGGATCGAGGGTCGAGGAGCAAGGTTGCTGTACGTTTTCAAACCCTTCCTGGGCCTCCTAGAGAGTCCGCAGGCCCTCGATCCTCGAAGATCGAAGGTCGAGGCTGCTGTGCGTTTTCGGCCCTGCCTGGGCCTCCTGGGGCGTCCAGAGGTCTTTCGGTACGTCGTTCTCTTCCAGAGGCCTTTCGTGGCGTCGTTTTCGCAGCCTCCTCCTCCTCCTCCTCCTCCTCCTCCTCCTCCTCCTCCTCCTCCTCCCTCTCCTCCTCCTCCCTCTCCTCCTCCTCCTCCTCCTCCTCCTCCTCCTCCTCCTTCTCCTCCTCCTCCTCCTCCTCCTCCTCCTGCTCCTCCTCCTCCCTCTCCCTCTCCTGTCTTCCGATCGCCCGAGAAGCGGAGACGGCCGGCCGTTCGCTATGCTCGGCCGAGGGAGGCCGTCTCTGGGTCTTGGGGCTGCAGCGCGGCTCCCGGAACCGTCAAAGATGACTCGGGACGAAAAGCCAGCCCCTGGGAAGGGATCGAGGATTCAGGTTTTCCGGGCCGTCTCTGGGTCTTGGGGCTGCAGCGCGGCTCCCGGAACCGTCAAAGATGACTCGGGACGAAAAGCCAGCCCCTGGGAAGGGATCGAGGATTCAGGTTTTCCGGAGGGAGGGGGGGGGGTCGAACTGGTAGTGACCCCCCCCCGTTTTCCACCAGCAGCGGCAGAAAACACGCTCTCTCAGAGCTCCGAGGGCCCATGTTTCGACAAAGTCGAGGCTTCGGATGTCTGGTCGGCCCTGGGTCCTCTCGGGTCGGGGATCGAGCTTTGTAGTGGATCTTAGACCTTTTCGGGCTTCCAGGGTCGTCCAGGAGCCTTCAGGGACGTCGTCGCCGCCGTCGTCGATCCTCGATCCTCGAGCATCTAGGGTCGATGGCCGATGTCCCCTGGTGTTTTGAGCTAGAGACATCCCCCTGCTGGGCAGACGCCTCCAGGCTGGACGCACACATCATCCGTCCGAGTGTCAAGAGGGGCAGTAGTCGAGCTAGCAGGAGAGCCACGGACAGTGCAGTTTGATTCAAATCCTGGCATCAAGACTACCCTTGCATCCTTGACCATTTGGCCCGTCCTTGTCGAAGTCTTGCTAGTCTTGTGCAGCTGAATATGTTTGGGGCCGAGCGTCAAAGTGCATCATGCCCTCACCTTGCATCACCGCCCTGGTCCCTTAGTGTATCCGCTTGGTTATCAACAAGAGCACGTGCCGAGCGATCAGGAGAGCTGCGGTCAGAATCACGACGATGACGAGCGCATGCGATGATGACGGCAAGCGAAGCGAAATCAAGCAAACAAAGTCCGCGAGGCGAGGCCGGGGACACAAGCAAGGACGGTCCTGCTGGTACGAGCAGGCCAGTGGTTTCTGTCCTTTCGCCAGTCGACTTGTGGGGGGAGAAAGGAGGAGGAGAAGGAGGAGAAGGAGGAGGCGGAGGAGGAGGAGGACCAGTGCAAACCCAAGAGTCATCAACGATGTTGGAATCAACCCTCCCTCCAAGCTCCCTCTCCATAGGCCCCTACAACGGTTCACTTCCACTGAAGGAACTGCCCCGTTGGAAGACGACCGTTTCAAGACCTTGAAGCATGCCAACACATTATTCTTGGGACTCCAACGCCACGGATCAACCTGATTGTTGCGTCTTGACGATCCTGAATCTTGCCAGAACGCAATTCCTAGGACTTCAACACTGCGAACCAACGTAACTGTGACACCCTGATAATCCTGAATCTTTCCAGAACACCATTCCTGGTTCGTTGATCTCAGGAATCCTTGAAACTTTCAATTTTTTGAGTGAATGTGCGCGGCGCTACGGCGAGAGCCAAAATTTGAAAACCGCCCGCCCTCAATTCGTGAAACCTTTGCGATTGTTCAAAACGAATGTGCGCTGCGCTACGGCGAGAGCCACATTTTGAAAACCACCGGCCCTCGATCCGTGAAGCTCTTGCGAAAGTTTAAGACGAATGTGCGCGGCTCTAAGGCGAGAGCAACATTTTGAAAAGGAACCGCCCCCAAACCGAATCCGCGAAACTCTTGCAATTGTGTAAAAGCGAATGTGCGCGGCGCTAAGGCTAGAGCAACATTTCGAAAAGGAACTACCCTCAATCCGTGAAGCTTCTGCAATTGTGAAAAAGCGAATGTGCGCGGCGCTACGGCTAGAGCCACATTATGAAAATGACCCGTGAAACCATTGCCACTTTTAAAGTTTCAGGGTCATCAATGGTGAGGAAGTCTCAGGCGAAACGCCCGGCCCGTCCCCAAAACAGGCCTCGGGGTGCGACAGGGATAAGTTATTTAAACGGAAATGGAATGGAGGAGAAGTCGGAGGAGGAGAAGGAGGAGGAGGAGGCGGAGGCGAAGGAGGAGGATGTGTAGGAGGAGGCATGTCCGCCCGTGCTGCACGGTGGAGCATCCGCCTCGCCCAAGGGCAGAAGTGGTCCCCGGAGCCTCCGAGGAGCGGAGGCAAGACCCCGGGGCTCGAGGGCCGACGCTTGAGGCTCTCGGGCGATTTCGGCCAGCCTCCAAAGGCCCTCCGGAGGCCCTCCTTGGGCCCTGGCAGCCTCGGAGGAGCCCCCGCCCCAGGCAGGAGGCGAGGGGGGGGAGCGGCGAGCGGCCGCGGGCCTCCGACGCGCTCGGCAGAGGGCGGGTCGGGCGCGCCTTGCTCGCACTCCGGGTGCCCCGCGGCGCGGAGGTGGCCCCGTGAGAGGGTCGATTTGGCAGCGCTCGGTCGCGTGCACTTTTTTCTCTCGGCGAGGACCACCGAGGAGCATCTCGGATCACCTTGCGAAGGAAGCGCGCATGAAACCGAGCAATGGAAGGCCAATCGGAGTGCTGGGACGGTCGGTCCCTGCCCAAGCTGTGAGAGAAGAAGGAGGAGGAGGAGGCGGCGGAGGAGGAGGCAGAGGAGGAGGAGGAGGAGGAGGAGGAGGAGGAGGAGGAGGAGGAGGAGGCGGAGGAGGCGGAGGAGGAGGAGGAGGAGGAGGAGGGAGTCGGTGGGATGGCCGTGGAGCCACGGCGTGCGTGCCGCCCGAGCTGCCCAGAGCGCCCCGCCCCTCTGTCGCCCGAGCCGGAGGGGGCCGTCGGCCGCCCTGGGCCGGGGCCTGCGCTCCTCGCCCCGCTGCTGCCCCCCGCCCCCCGCCCGCAGCCGTTCTGGCTCAGGCGCCTTCCGCTGCTCTGCGTCAGCCGCCGGTGTGGTCGGGGGAAGGAGCAGTGGCACAAGCATACGAGCTCGGAGGTCCGCGCCGATGTCTCGGATCCGCGCCGGGCCCCCCTCCCTGGCGCGCGGAGCGCGCAGGCGGCGGCGCCGGAGGCGCCGCCAGTGGGGTCCAGCGCGGATCCGAGAGATCCGCGCGGACCTCCGAGTTTTTATGTTTATGTCATTCTTCGTTCCCCTGGTGGTACCCGCACCAGCGCCACAGGCAGGCGATGGGAAAGGCGGACACGAAGGTGGTGAAGGAAATGAAGAAGCCTGTGGACGAGGACGACGACTCGTCGGACGAAGAGCCAGCGCCCAAGGCAAAGGCCAAGGCAAAGCCCGCAGCCGCCAAGAAGGCCGCAGCCGTAGACTCGGACGACGAATCCACTGAGGACGAGCCTGCCCCAAAGGCCAAGGCGAAGGCCAAGGCGAAGCCGGCAGCCAAGCCTGCGGACGATGATTCCGACGACAGTGATGATGACGAGCCACCTCCGAAGGCAAAGGCAAAGGCCAAGGCCAAGCCCGCAGCCAAGCCTGCGGACGATGACGACGACGACAGTGACGACGATGAGCCGGCGCCGAAGGCCAAGGCCAAGGCCAAGGCGAAGCCAGCAGCCAAGCCTGCCGACGACGACTCTGACGACAGTGACGACGAGCCGGCTCCGAAGGCCAAGGCCAAGGCCAAGGCGAAGCCGGCCGCCAAACCTGCCGACGACGACTCTGACGACAGTGACGACGAGCCGGCGCCGAAGGCCAAGGCCAAGGCCAAGGCGAAGCCGGCCGCCAAGCCTGCCGACGACGACTCTGACGACAGTGACGACGAGCCGGCGCCGAAGGCCAAGGCCAAGGCGAAGCCGGCCGCCAAACCTGCCGACGATGACTCTGACGACAGTGACGACGAGCCGGCGCCGAAGGCTAAGGCGAAGGCCAAGGCGAAGCCGGCCGCCAAGGCTGCGGAGGACGACTCCGACGACAGTGACGACGAGCCGGCGCCGAAAGCTAAGGCGAAGGCCAAGGCGAAGCCGGCAGCCAAGGCTGCGGAGGACGACTCCGACGACAGTGACGACGAGCCGGCGCCGAAGGCAAAGGCCAAGGCGAAGGCGGTTGCCAAGCCTGCCGACGACTCTGACGACAGTGACGACGAGCCAGCCCCGAAGGCTAAGGCGAAGGCCAAGGCGAAGCCGGCAGCCAAGGCTGCGGAGGACGACTCCGACGACAGTGACGACGAGCCAGCGCCGAAGGCAAAGGCCAAGGCGAAGGCGGTTGCCAAGCCTGCGGAGGAGGACGACGACGACAGTGACGACGAGGAGCCAGCGCCGAAGGCAAAGGCCAAGGCCAAGGGGAAGCCAGCAGCCAAGCCTGCCGACGACGACTCTGACGACAGTGACGACGAGCCGGCTCCGAAGGCGAAGGCCAAGGCCAAGGCGGTTGCGAAGCCTGCCGACGACGACGACGACAGTGACGACGACGAGGAGCCGGCTCCGAAAGCAAAGGCAAAGGCCAAGGCGAAGCAGGCTGCCAAGCCTGCCGACGATGACGACGACAGTGACGACGACGAGGAGCCGGCTCCGAAAGCCAAGGCAAAGGCCAAGGCGAAGCAGGCTGCCAAGCCTGCCGACGATGACGACGACGACGACAGTGACGACGACGAGGAGCCAGCTCCGAAGGCAAAGGCCAAGGCGAAGGCCAAGGCTGCAGCGAAGGATGATTCCGATGACGATGACGACGAGGACGAAGCGCCTCCCAAGCCGAAGCCCAAGTTGGACGTCTCTGGCACCGGGAGCAAGGCGTCCGAGGACAAGACGGTGTTCATCGGTGGTCTTCCGTTCAGCACCACAGAGGAGCAGCTGAAGAAGGACTTCACCGAATGCGGCACCATCGTCAAGTTTAATCCAAGAGGCTTGCGCCATTCCGCCGACCCCCAGATGAGGAGATGTGCGGCCTCCGATTCCGTAGACAGTATAGTATGTTGTTCGCCGCGTCCTGTCGTGCTGCCTGCGTGTAGCTGTTTCTGGCTTTTCCCCTTGCTCCTTCGCGTCTGCTGCGGGGCTTCTCGAGGACCTCGTAGAGGCCTCGGGGGCGCCCTCTTGGAAGCTTTTTTTAGGGCTTCCGTGTGCTCTTGAGGCCCTCCGAGGGTTTCTTGGGGGTCTCTTGGGGACATCTTAGGGGCATCTTGCGCGTCTTGTGGGCCATCTGATGGGCCAGGGCTCCCAGGGCCCCTAAGAGTTCCCCCTCTTGGGTCTTTCTGGCTCCGCTTGGAGTCCTCTGGAAGGCTTTTTTTTGGCCGTCCTGAAGGCTTTTCGGCAGTCCTGGGGCCCTCCTGGGCCATCTCTGGGCTCTCTTGGGGGGCCTCTTCGGCCGTCTTGGGCCAATCTGGGGGCCTCTCGGGCCGTCTCGATGCCCAGAATCTCGAAGTGGCGAGGATGCGAACGGCATGCAAAAAATCCTCCGGACAATGTATGCTTTGGGCATTTTGGGGACCGTCAGGTGGGCCCTTTGTGGGCCTTCTCTTTGGGCATCTTCCAGGCCTCCTAGGCCGCCCTGAGATAAGATCTTGGCTGCTCTGGAGGCCTCTCCGGCGCGTCGGAGCCCTCCTCGAGCTATCTCAGAGGGCATCTCAGACATTTTGGAGACCGCGGTGGGTGGATGTGGAGGCTCCCTCCCTCCCTCCCTCCTTCCTTGATGTTTTTTATGTCTCGCATTGCATGTTCTCTCCAGATACACCAGATGTCATTCCCGCTTCGAGGCTGCGGCCTCCACCGCCACGCCCAAACGGGCGCTTGCGGGCGTCCACGCGGCGTGCGCACGGATCTTGCGTTCGTTCGTTCGTTCGTTCGAGGGCCTGGGAGGTGTGCTGGGGAGCCCGTGCACCCCCCCCCCGTCTAACGGGATTTGGGACTCCAGGGGAGGGGGCAAGGGAGATGGGGATAGCCAAGTGTTTCACACCGCCTCTTCACCCCCGGCAAGCGGGAGTCGGCGGATATGCCCCTGAACGACGAGGGTAAGCCAAAGGGTATCGCCTTCATCACGTTCGAGACCGAGGACGCCGTCAAGGAGGCGTTGAAGTACGACGGGGACGAGTACGGTGGGCGAACGTTGAAGGTCAACAAGGCTGGCGAGGGGGGTAAGGGTAAGGGCAAGGACGACAAAGGCAAAGGTAAGGACAAGGGCAAGGGAAAGGACGGCAAAGGCAAGCGCGACGACTCCCTCACCGTGTTCGTGGGCGGCCTTCCCTTCTCGGCGGACGAGGAGACGCTCAAGAAGGACTTTGGAGAGTGTGGCGAGATAGACAGGTTCAACATGCCTTTGAACGACGAGGGCAATCCCAGGGGGATCGCTTTTATCACCTACAAGTCCGAGGAGGCGGTCACGAAGGCGCTGGAGTTTAACGATACCGACTACGGAGGTCGTACGCTAAAGGTGAACAAGGCTGGCGACAGGCCTGCCAAGGGCAAGGACAAGGACGGCAAGGGCAAGGGCAAGGACGGCAAGGGTAAGGGTAAAGACAAAGGCAAGGGAAAGAAGGGCAAGAAGGGCGGCCTCAGCGCCGAGAAATTTGCAGCCAAGGACGGGACCATGGTCGAGGGCACAGGCACGAAGCAGACGTTCGACGACTCTGACGAGGACGAGGCGCCTCCGGCGAAGAAGGCCAAGAAGGCCGCGGACGAGGAGGCCGCAGAGCCGCCGGCCAAGAAGGCCAAGAAGGCCAAGAAGGCCAAGCCGCCGACGGACAGCGACGACGATGAGTAGCGCGCTGGCCTTAGCGTGCTTACGCTAGAGGCTTACTCCGTTCCGCCGACCCCCAGCAGATCGGTGTCGTGGTCCTGCGCAAATGTTGGTCGGGACGGTTGGGGCCCCTGCAGGCTGGTCCCTCGGGTCGAGGCTCCCTTGGTGCCCTGTTGGGGCTGCTCAAGCACTTCCGAGGACCCGGAGGGCTCGGTTTGGCCTTCCAGTGGGGCCTCGGGCCCGCCCCCGGCGGCCCCCAGAGGCCTCCAGCTCGGTCCTCCTGCTCCTCCTCCTCCTCCTCCTCCTCCTCCTCCTCCTCCTCCTCCTCCTCCTCCTCCTCCTCCTCCCTGCTCCTCCTCCCTGCTCCTCCCCGCTCCTCCTCCCTGCTCCTCCCTGCTCCTCCCTGCTCCTCCCTGGCGCCATCCTGGCGCTCCCGGTGGGGGTCCTGGGAACCTTGTGGAGGCCACCGGTTCTGCCCCGGAGGTGCCCCGGGACCGTCTGGGGGCGGCCTCGGTCCGCCTCGGAGCTCTCGCGGGCCGCAGGGCTGCGAATCAGGAGGAGGAGGAGGAGGAGGAGGAGGAGGAGGAGGAGGAGGAGGAGGAGGAGGAGGAGGAGGAGGAGAAGGTTTGGGCTCGAGTGGGCGCCTAGGGAGGCCGCCCGCAGGAGCTCTGACCTCACGTGTGTTGGCTCTCGCACGCCAGCCACGACTGATAGCATTACAGCTACAATTTCTGATTCAGACAGCTCAGTTAGCCGTTCCCGCTCCCAGCAGCGCGAACCAGCCTGGCATCGACGACGGCGTCGACAAAGAGCAGACGCCCGTTCTCTTCTGCGGGTGTATCAGGCGGTGAAGCTTCTTCAAGGGCACCACAGTGTTCAAAGACATCCAAGTACGGAGAAAATGACTACTGGAACCCCAGGATGGACGTGCAGATGCGGACAACACCAGCCAGGATGGCAATGGGAATGCTCATCGTGTGGTTCTTCGTTCGACAAGCGGCGGAGACCGAGCAGGAGCGTTTCTCGCCACAAAAGACAGTGGGGAGGCAACAACCCCGCGCCCAAGAAGAGGCCAGGGCGAGACCGCTCCCAGCAGGAGCGCAAGCCCGACCGCGATGGCCTGGACAAAGCGGCTCGCAAGCTCATCGAGAGAGTGGTCCCTGCCCTGAAACATATTGCCGAGTCGCACGAAGATTGGGGCAAGTGGGAGCCTCCAGAAGACCGCCGCATGCACAGCCAGTTCCGAGATCGAGCGAAGACTCGAATGATGGTGCTGGCTCGGCTGGCAGTGCAGGCGGTCAGAGCGAGGAAGTCAGACGAGGAGTTGAAGGAGGAGATGGGCATGCTACTGTATCCCCTGGACCAGCTAAAGCCGCTGAGCGAAGTGAAAGCAGAACATATGGCACGCTTGACAGCCAAGATGGAGGACCTGAAGAATACAAAATGCCGCATCGCCCTGCTGGAGACACAAGTTCAGGAGATCGAGGACGATATCGCGGACACCAAGTCAACTCTGGCGGAGATCGAGTCCAAGATAGCAGTCGAGCTCAGGGACATTCTTCCAGGTGCAGAGCCAAATACTTTAGGAATGGACACATCGGGGACAGGTTCGAAGAATACAGCGGCCGCCCAGACGATTGCAACTCTGCAGGAGCAGAGCCGCAACGGGACGACAGCATATGCACAGCTCCAGCTACAGAACCAGCAAATGGTCTACCAGATGGTGAAGATGCAGGAGTACATGCGGCAGTACCCTGGCGGCCCATGCCCGCCAGTCGGGCCATGCCCGACGCCCCCGCAGCCCAGAGCCCCCAGCGGCTACGCGGCACCCCAGATGCCGCCCCTGGGGCCCATCCCAAGGCAGCCGCAAACCCTGGAGGCGACGGGGTTTACCGCGCCAGCACCGGTTGCAGCAGTGCCGCAGCCACCGGTGCCAACGGCACAGACGGCACCTCAGTGGACTGGTGCGGAGCTCTCCCCAGCAGCAGCTGCAGCAGCGATGGGGCTTCCAGACCTGGAGGCGGCGGCGGCGGCAGCGCAGATGGCGGTAGAGGGAGCCCCGGGACCATGCATGAGGGGCCCCGAGACGGCGCAGTGGGAGGTGGTGGGGGGCCGCGCACAGGACGCCACGGCCGCAGCCCAAGGCAGCGGGGGCCAACTCTGCAGAGGAGACCCCCTGGGTGGATCCCGCCCACCTGGCACCGACACAGCCTGCAGGACCGACCCAGGAGTCGCCGCGACTACCAGGGCCAGGATCAGACCAGTTCAGCAGCTTGGTGGCTCAATTCGGAGGCAAATCGACGGGGAAGGGAACCGCGACGTCGGAGCCGTGCCCAACAGGTCGCCGCCCAGTTCGATCCGCCGAGGGCGACCCCGATCCTGCTGCGCACAAGTACCATCAGCTACCATCTCAGCCAGAGGGGATGCCAGTGGATGCGAGCGCGGCAGCAGCGGCAACGTCTGCAACGAGGACGGCAGCGTGAACAACGCAAATGATGGAGGCTGGAGGATGGTACGTGAAAGGCGCGGACATCTGGCGACATCAATACATGGTACTCCTAAGGGGAAAGAGGAGAGCCCTAATGCCATCATGCTCGACGCGACCCTGGAGGGCAACAGCGAGCAGTTACACATCGACTGGGGAAGGTCGGTCAGTACCTTAGATGATCACGGACATGCTCTCATGGGTCAATTGCAGAGCCTCCGTGCTCCGTGAGATTTCCAGAGCTGTCGTGGTCAGCTCGGACGACAGCGCGCACTACCGTCCTCAGGGTCCGATTGAGAACGGCATGCGATCCATGGTTGATGCATGGAACGCAGAAGCTTTCCTCGGGACACTCGAGGCAGCACGACAGGACTGGATTGATTGGCGTGTACCTGCAGCGCGTAATCACCTAGCCATGACGACAATAATGAGATGGGATCAATGCAGTAGTGCTGCGATTGAGATCTGCAATGGGGCACGGTGCAGTGGGGGAATTGCGCGATACAACAGCCAGCAGAGGCTCGCAGCATTGCTCGCCCGCAATCCTGTCGCGCGGGCCAACTACATGATTGAACAGATGGCGAGGATGACGAGAGCTAGGAGATATTTGACACTCCAGGCCCATCAAGCACATCGTCAGGCTCGGGTTGAAAATTGTATTCGAAGGGGTGAAGAACTATCCGCGAGTGCCATCGAGACAACCAGACGAGGAGGAAGGCCACCCCATCCTGCACATGAGGCGCGCACTACAGCAGCGCCCGAAGTACATGCTCCTGAACGCGAAGTACTGACCCCAGATGGGACCGAACAAGGGATGATGGTGATCGAGGTGCAACCCCAGAGCGAGGGCCCAGAAGCACATCTTGCACATCCCGTCCCACATCCCGTCCCACAACTAGGCTTTGGCAGGTTCGCCACGGGCAGCCAGGAGATGCGGGACCAGGGGGGGCAGAGCGACGACTCGACCAGCCTGTGCCAGATGACAGTACAAACACGGCGCATCGACGGAATGTGTGTGAACGGCCAGGCACCGCCAGAGGATCGCCCTGAGACGATTGAACAACGGGCAGAACGTCATGTCCAGGGAAGTCTGATAACGGCAGCCCGTGATCAGGCAGCGGCGTGGAGCATTGAGCACTACCTGTACAACGATGATCTTGCGAGGCGCGACTGGGTGATCTACCACATACCATACGCGATGCAGATATTCCAGACCATACCGATACTCAACAGGAGGTACGACACGCTCCCTGAGCCCATGCAGGCCGCACGTGCACTATGCGATCAAATATGGGCGAGAGGGATATCACGACGACACCAGTATGCACGATCAATGGCTGCTATTGCTCGGGGCCCAGTGGATGAATGGTGGATGGAGGTGCGTTTGGCGCAAGAGGCACTACGTGTAGCACGTGACCGTCTGGACCGAGCAGTTGGGGGGCCGGGCCTGGGCGATTTCGACCGCCATGTACCCCCAGAAATTCAACCTGGGCCTGAGCCAGGCGCACCGCAGCCAGAACTGAATGTGGAAGAGGATCTGCCCCATCGACCACCAGTTGCAGCTGAAGGGGGCCAGCCGACTGAGCGAGAGGATGACAACGAAGGAGCTGCAGAGCCGCGGGCGGATGATATAGCATCGCTTCTCCAACGGCAGGTGCGTCGAGTGCAATGGGGGCAGGTCCTGACACACGAGTGCGAGGTCGACGACAGTAGTGATGTGACCGCCTCTGCCGCCCACCCGCCTGTGCCAGATTTTCACACAGTCAAAAGCCAGACAGGAAGCCTGCGAGGGGCCCTAGCGGGCCCAGCAGGCTCTTTTCCTTGGAATTTTGGCCCTGGGACCGCCGAGGGGACCTTCAAACTCCAGCGGGGCGGAACCGAGCCTATTTCAGGCTCCACTGCGGACGTGACTAGCGCAACGCAGCAGCACAGTCGCGCCTTTCTGCAGCGTGAGGCGGAAGAATCGCCGACGTGGCCTCCATCAGGACAGCCGGTGGAGGCGTTTCGCCAGAAAGACCATGGCCGTTTGCCAGGGTCTCGCGCATGCTGTCATGCTCATGCTGGACAAATGACCTGGGAGTAATCTGAGCCCGTGCCAGTGTATCAGCATCAATCCTGCAAGCGTGTATTATCACTTGTTGAGGCGATCCCGCGCGGAGGACGCCAGTGCAGCCGGCTACCTGAGAAGAGACGCAGGATTTCGTTGGCAGATTTGCTCTCACCAGATGAGGTATCGGCGAAGGCCGAGACCCAGGAGCAACAGGAATGGTGCAGCGATTGCATTGTACATGTTTTCACTTCTTCTGATGCCTCCCAGTGCGATCCTGATTGTGGGACCAGGTCGGAATGCCCTGACGAGACGACGCCGACTGACCCCCCAGGAACGACGGGGTCCCAGGGCCATGGGCCAGAGGTAACCGACCCCCCCTCCAGCCCGTTAGCCGATGAAGGCGGCCCCCCGATGAACCAGCCAAGCGAGCCCCCCTTGGAATCCCCAGCTGCTACAGCCCCCCTTGGAACCCCCAGCTGCTACCCAGGGTCTGCTTTTCTTTATTGTCATGCCAGAGCATGCGCAGCCAGTTGCTGAGACTTTGCGAGATGCGCGTCTCCCACCCTGGGATGTGGAGCTGGATATTTACGCTTTGCCCTTCCCAGCTCGTCATGCATTGCAGCAGTGTCCTGTTGATGCCATAACTCATAGGAATAGCAAGCAGCGCCACTATCATACAGACGGGCCCATGAGACCTGATGCAGGGGAAGAGGGGGCCTGGAGTAACATAAAACTCGATCAGGATGGTGAAGGCAACATCTCTTTTGCTGGGTGGAGGTCGGGCTTGTGGTTGCGAACGTGTGCTGCCCCATCTCTCCTCGCAGCTCCCGGCATCCTTCATCATGAGATGCTTGCTATCTGCTGGTCTCTGCTTGATGTCATCCAGGGTGCGGCTAGTGGAGGAGAAAGGACGCTGGTCAGCATCAACTCAGATTCCAAAAATGCTGTGGAATTGATCCATGGGAGCGCCACAGTAGATCCGCAGCACATGCTTGCTCGGCAGATGCTCGCCCTTCATAGGATTGCCACTCAGCTATGCAAGATTGACGTACACCACCTTAAAGCGCACGAGGACCGCCCCTGGAATACCCTGGCAGGTCACATAGCGCGAGCAACCATGTGTGGGGGAATAAGCCCCTCCTCCCCCCATCGACCCGAGGCTGTTGACGGTAATGAAGTATAATGCGGGTCGGGGGGGGGAATGGGTGCAGCTTCTCCCCCCATCCTGTAGAGAGGCATACCCCCCTTGGGTCAGCAGGGGCAGCGGGGAGGAACCTGGCATGATAGAAGGTTTCGTGTGCCATGACCAACGTACGGTTGCAGACGTGCCGCCAAAAGAGCCCGCAGTCAAGGCGCAACCAGTCCAGGCTCGGTTCCAGATTCAGGTTGCACAATACAGCCCCAAGAGCGCGAGCATTCGGCATGCGCCCGGAACGGCTGGAAGGAGAAAGGCTGCGCGCGCGCTCCAGGAACAATTCGAACAGTCTGATGCGCAGGTGATAGGGATCCAGGGGTCTAGGAATATAGGAGGTGAGAAAAGCTGGACCCTTTGTAGTGTTTGCGTCAGGCACGTCATCCGAGGGGTTAGGATGCGAGTTATGGTTCAACACGTCTGTCCCCGCAGGCCAGACCCCCAAGGGAAAGGACATAAAATTCACCAAGGATAACCCGGTGAAGCTTGTGGCCACCCCAAGGATGATTATTGTGGCGTACTCGTCCCCCCAAGCGAGGATGACCTTTGCCTCCATGCACGCCCCGCACGCCCGTTTGGGGATCAAGGCTGTGAAGAACTTTTGGGACGAGGCCGAAGCGATGGTCCTAAAATACAAAGTCGGTTATATGTGTGTGGATGCGAATGCTAGAATGGGGGGCATTGCAACAGAATGGATAGGGAGCGAAGGGATGCCGCAGGGACAGGACCGAAGGACCGAACTGGACAGTGTCTACAGGTCTTTGCGGCCAGCACACCAATGTGCGCCGTTAACACACTTGTCCCTCGCAGCCCTGCATATACATATACAGCTAACAGCGGCCAGCGACATAGGATCGACTATGTGATGGCCACCCAACAAGGAATGCAAGCGGTGAAGGAGGTTGCGGCCTGGACCGAGTTTGACAACGCCATGGCGCAACCAGACCATCAGCCAGTGTCAGTCCGCTTCCAATGGGTAGCCCTCGCCCACCCCCCTCGGTCAGGACCCAAGGGGGTGAGCATGACGGCGGTGAACGATCCAGAGGCATGTTCGCAGCAATGGCAGTCTGATCCCAGCAGTCCCATGGACGACGGACATCAATGAACATCTGGCGATTGTGCAGTCCCAAAGTTTGCAGGCTGTTCGACAGGCATTCCCTGTTCCCAAAACGACTCCCCGTGCGTCATATGTCTCGGTCAGAACTCGCCTACTGATTGCGACGAGGCGG